TATGTGTCTGGGTATAAAGCAGTAAATAAAATAGCTATTGCCTCATGGAACTGCCGTTCCAGTGGGGAGACGGACAATAAATAAGCACGGAAACAAACATTCATTATAAATTTTTAAAATGCTATAAAGTTTTAAAAAAACAAAAGGGCTCTGTGGCAGAGAAGGGGGGCCACTCAGAGAAGCTGGGTAGGCCTCTCTGAGCAGATGACTTTGAAGCCGAGCCCTGCAGAGGAGGACAGGTATACGCAGAGTGGAAAGAACAGGTGAGAGCCTGGAGGAGGGAAGACACTGGTGTGGGTGTGGGGCTGCAGGGAGGTTGGGAGGGATGAAGGCAGAGTGCAGGTGAAACGGGCAAGGAAGTTGTTGGCCTTCACAAGCACAGCCTAAAAGGCATCTCAACATTAACCTGTGCAGGGCTTCCCTGGTGGTGCAGTGGTTAAGAATCCGCCTGCCAATGCAGGGAACACGGTTTCAATCCCTGGTCCAGGAAGATCCCACATGCCGCGAAGCAACTAAGCCCGTGCGCCACAACTACTGAGCCTGTTCTCTAAAGCCTGCAAGCCACAACTACTGAGCCCGTGTGCCACAACTAATGAAGCCCACGCGCCTAGAGCCCGTGCTCCACAACAAGAGAAGCCACTGCAATGAGAAGCCCGCGCACCGCAATGAAGAGTAGCCCCCGCTCGCTTCAAGCCCGCGCACAGCAATGAAGACCCAACGCAGCCAAAAATAAGAAACAAAAAAAACAAAGAAAGTTCCTTTCCAGGATATCATGCCAATATCCTGGCGTCACCCCTGGCTCCTCTCTGTTTTTCAGTTCCTACCTCTAACCCACTGGCAAATCCTATTGGCTCCAACTTCAAATATATCCATCCTCCGACCATGCCTCGCCACTTCTCTAGCTGCCATGCTAGTACACCCCTCACCTGGATTATTACCTTAGTCTCCTAACTCATCTCCCCCATTGCAGTCCTCCCTCCCTACAGAGTATTTTCAAGACAGCAGTTGGAGTGGTCCTTTTCAAAGGAAGGCTGATCACATCACTGTCCAGAGTCTCCAGCGGCTTCAGATACACGCTCAAAGGAAAAGCCAAAGCCGCTGTAGGACTGTAAGACCCTATGACATGATCTGTCCCCACACACCACCTCCCACCTCCCCTTCCTGCCCTTACCCCAGTCTCATCTCTTCCTGCGCTCCTGAGTCCTGGGCTACAGCCATACTAGCCTCCTTGCTCTAACCTTATGGCTTTCGCATTTGCAGCCCTCTCCACCTAGGACATGGATCACACAGCTGACTCTCTCAACTCTTATTTTTGCCTGTCTTCCCAGTGAGGAGTCCCCTGCCCCTATTTTGTTTCCTCCATCCCCCTCTTCTGCTTTATATTTTTATAGCACTTATGACCATTTGGCTTATTACATATTTTACTTATTTCTTTATGTAATGACTCTATCTCCCCTGTCCTGCCAATCTTTCAGGTTCATGTTCATTTCTTCAGTACCTAAAACAGTGCCTAGCATTCAAAAAATGCTTGTTGACTTGACAAATGAGTGGTGAGAACAGTGGGCTACAATGGACTAGGAGAGGACAGGAGGTGAGGAAGTACATTAGCATGTGTGGAAAGGTTGCTGTGGAAGAAAAATGGTAGAGTAACTCGAAGGGATATGGGATCAAAGGAGGAAATTTTTTTTTAGTGGGATATATGACCCCAGTGACCTAATAGTAATTTACACTGATACTACATCCTATTTTAAAAGGAGAGTTTATTATGCTATGTTTGAGAGCTTATATACATCTTCAATAGTGAGATTAATCTAAGGATTATACAACTAATTAATCAGAGTAGACACAATAAGAGGAAATTGTCTTCCATGTGCCACTTATTAGACAATGAACAGCGCTGCATGCAAAGAATTGAAGAGTCCAGTAATTGTCACCTAAAATGACAATGATGATTCATTTAGAAATGATTTCATGGTAGAATAGTTGGAGTATGCTAAAACTTTACTTTTGTTTCTCTGAACTGGAATATTACCTGCTTGCAGGTGAATAAATTTAAATCCTACCCCCAAGCTAAATGGAAGCTTCAAGAAGTAATTCACTCAAGGTCACATTACTGATAAATGATGGAGCTGCCGGTTAAATCCAGATATCTTTGGGAACAGTTTATGTTAAATGTGCATTAAAATTCACACCAGAATATATGTATGTATGTGTATGTGTGTGTGTGTGTGTGTATGTATATATATATATATATATATATATATATATATATATATATATCGTATTCTTTCTATAAAAATTAGAAAGAAAAACTTTCTAACTTGGTCCTTCATAACAAAATACTAAAATAAATGTTGAAGGGATATGGAAGATACCCCATGTATCTGTCAGACCCCTGGGAATTAGCATGAATGAATGTCAGCAGAGACAATGCAAATAAACGGATGAGTTGAAACAATCCTACACTCACATGAGAAAATATTAGACCACCCAATAAATTAAATGCCAAACTCCAGGACAGGGAAAAATCCCAGGCTTATTTTGTTTCCCTGTTAGCTTGCACCCAGCTGGCAGAATTCTAAGATGACCCCCAAGATTCCCACCTACCGGTGTACATGCCCTGCATAATCCTCTGCCTTTGAGTGTGGGTAGGACCTGTGGGCTATCACTCCCTTGATAAATGACAAAAGTAATGAGATAGTCACTCCTATAATTATATTGTATTATGATTAGCAGACTAAAGGGATATTCTCCCTCCAGATTTGAGGAAGTAAGCTGCCATGTTGTGAGCGGGTCAGTGGCTTACAACCAACCTGAGAGTGGCCTCTGAGAGCTGAAAGGGACCCTGCTGACAGCCAGCAAGAGAAAGGGGACTTTGATCCCACAACAGCAAAAAACTGAATTCTGCCAACAACCTAGATGAGTTTGGAAGAGGACCCCAAGCTCCAGCCAAGACTGCATCTCCTGTCAACACTGTGATTTCAGCCTGATGAGACTGAGCAGGGGGCCCAGCTAACCCACGCCTGACTCCTGACCAAAGGAAACTGTGAGCTGATCAATGGGTGTTGTGTTAAGCTGCTAAATGTGTGGTAATAGAAAACCAAAACACAAGCCGATATTCATCCCTTCCACAGACACTGAGGAGACCCAGCATGGTTATGACGTCACATTACCCCAAGGGTAATAATGAAAGCAGTTTTTAATTCTGAATTGTTCTAATCCATGCTCTTTCACACCTCCAATGCCTTTTCACTTGACATTACCTGATGAATTCCTATTCAAACTACAAAACCCAGGTCAAATGTTGCTTCTTCAAAACAGCATTTCCTTACAGACACCCCCATCCCCTCCCAAGCAGAATAAATTACTGTGTTCTTTACTTCCATGGCAGCAGCTTGCCTGTCCATCTATCAAAACACTGGCCATGATACACTGTAATAACTTCTCCCGGCTCCCACCCCACAAGACTGAGAAACTTTTAGGGCAGAGCTGCCTCAGTCTCCTGCACGGTGGCCGGCACAGAGCCGGTGCTGAACAGCTGGCTACTGAGTAAAGGAAAGGAGGCTGTGGATACACATAGGCTGTTGATGCCCAGGGAGTTGCTGTTTCTTTTCCACACAGATGATCAGGCCTCCAGTATTAATGGAAACCTAGAAAGCCGTCTCCATGACAACAGCTGGGTGACTAATCAAGCACTTTTACTGGTCAAAAGGGCAGATATTTACTGTCTTGAAAGAGCTGGTCTGAAATGGGTAGGTGTACTTGAAGCCAGAGTTGGTAGCAGACGCTGGAAAGGATTTAGATTCACCCCAGAAGGGGTGGTGCGAAGCTCTGTCTGATTTGTTCTGCCTCAAGCCCTGTGCTAGATTTGCATGCTTCTGATTCAAATCATCTGTGTTAATCCATTCCTGAAATCAAATGTCAGCCTAAATAGACAACAACTCCACGGAGTTAGTTTTACTCAATGGTTTAAAACTATGGGTAACAAGACAGAAATGAGAATCATATATCAACAATATCCATGGCATTCCCAGGACCCCCAAAGCAGATAGCTGTTTTAGGAAATTATAGACTCAGACAAAATTATACAAAATCATTGCACAGGAAATAGTATTTTCTGGGTGTGTGTTTTGACAAAACTCAGAGAAAGAACTCATGTTTTTCCTTAGGACCCACTCCTGTGGGCAAACACTTGAAGTGCTCTTTTGTGTTCAGACTAAATTGACCATGCTACTGCTTTAGGGCTCCACCTCGGTGGAGAAAGAGAGCATTCAGAATCAGAGGGATACAAAGCAAGGCATGGAAATAAGGCACCTGCTCTTAAGAGCTGCTCATCACCACCTCATAAGAGCGAGATTCCAATTCTCTCTATAAGTAAATCACTAAACAAAAAAAGTGTCACTTTCTAATAAAAGTATTACAATCATATTGCCAGAAACTTAGAGGAATTCAGGTGGGAAATGGTCTTATCACCCTAAAACAGTTAAATTAACATCTGTTATATTAAAAAACTTTTTTTAAAGTTATTGACATAAACTCTTAACATCAGTACCTCTTTTGGCTCCCTTGGGCTTATCTGACATCATCCCTAAGAATCAAATCAGATCTTTTAGGTCCTATATTTTGAAGATCTTTTACAAATACTGGCTGGCAGTGGCTCAGAGGCAGCCAGCTGGGGACACAATTTCCCAAAGATCAGTTTGGGAGAAGACATGGGGTCTGGGTTCTAATCTTTTTTTTAGTGATAATGCTAGATGCTCCTTCATTCACTTACTAAATATTAATGTGCCAGATTTTGTGCTAGATGCTAGGGCTACAGCTGTGAATTAGATAAGGTCCCTGACCTCACAGGACTTATATTCTCATGTGTATGTATGTATCTATATACTGTGTAGCATAAGAAGAAAGGGAAAACAGAAGGAGGAAGTAGAGTTTCTTCAATATGCATTAATTATTTTACTGCTAATGGAAACTGCAAACTGGCAGAACACAGTAAATACCTTCAATGCTCTGTGGGCCCACAAGGTTCATGGCCTGGTGAGCTGGATACTCTACCCGTGGCCTGGCAATGCCCAGCTGCTCCATCACACCATGGAGCAGCCTCTGGATATCTGTTTCTGAGACCCGGTCAGGGGTTCTCGGGCTATAAGCAGCTGTTGCAGTCCATCCAAATGTCAGCCAAAACACTAGGCCAGACAGCATGGTAGAAACCATCCTGGCAACCATTTTTAACCTGCAGAAAAAAGACCAAACATATATCGATTGGCCACAACTGGCAATTGTGATGATGTAATCATGTAATCACTCCAGGGAGTGATTCAAGGACCTCCCAGGAAGGGACTGCAATGAAAAATTCTTAAGGATTTGCTTAGGCCTTATGTGTCCACCCTAGCCAGGACATCAGCTGTGAGAAGGTATTAAAGAAACAGAACAGTCTGTCTGAGATAGCCAGTTCCCTCTGTCCTCACATTCTTGGGAAGACTAGACTATAATGGCACTTCTCACTCATTTTTTATTGTCCTTACAGCTCCCTGGAAGCTCTGCATTATGCCTACCCCACCACTCTCTCCCTCCCTTAAACCAACAAAAACAAACAACAAAAAAATTTGCCTCAATTTTGAGGAAGGGAGAGGGAGGGTGACATCTTGACTTTTCTAGTCCTGGTGAAGAAAAGGCTCAGGGGAAGGAGTTGGAAGACACAAATGGTAAAGAAGCATAGAAAGCTTAGGAGTGGTACAAGGGAACATCAATACACACAGCTCAGGCCTGCCCTCTAATCTGGGAAGGATTCTTGCTGCACCACATGCTAGCAGGGCGAACTTGGGCAAATGCCTCAACTTCCTTCTCTGCAAAAAGGGATGAGAAAAGCATCCGTCTTATAGGGTTACTCTGAGGTTAAGTGTGAGGGCACATGTAAGAGGACTGAAAACAATGCCAGACACACAGCCCCCCAGATTGCTATTATTATGTTGGCAATATTGCCTTACTGTTCCAGAGGTTCGAATTTGGGGAATCGAAGGGTGATGAGAGAGAAAACAGAACAGGTGAAGGAGACTGGAGAAACCTAGTCTGGGGAGTCAACCTGTCCTGAATGTTGGCTTCCACGCAACCAGAAGCCTGCAGAACAAGAGAACAAATATTCACGCAAATTCCCTCTGCAGCTGCTGAACGTTAGGGTGGAGACTGCAGGCAGTGGCCATGCAAAACCTCTTTTGACCATCCTTCTATGGGCGCGGGGGGGGGGGGGGGGAGAAGGTGGTGGCGGCATGCATTTCTTCCCTGAAACTGAAATATTCATTATCCCCAATATCTACTTCTGTAAAGGAAAGAATTTTTAAAAAGCCACTCAGATGTAAAACCCTGTACTACAAAGAGCTGAGACAGCAAAGCCCGCAAAATCTGACGAAAAAGGCCAGAGGCAGACACCAGCCTCTCCGGCCATCTCCATCTTTCCCTCCTCCGCTCTGAATGCAGGATGTCTTTGTTTCATTTACACCCCCAGCCAACAGCGTTCTGACTTGATCTCCTTCCTCGGTACTCTTTCCCTCTTATTTAGAGCCGAACCTCCGGTTCCCCCACCCATCCTTTGTCTGCCCCCAGCCTCCAGCTCAAGGATTTCAGCCTGACGCCCTCCCCCACTCCCGATCGTGAAGAGCCCGTTGGTCTGGGTGGGCGTCAGGAGGTCGAGCCGGCCTCAGCGCAGCACTCACCGAGCGGCAGCCGGAGGAGCCTGCTGCGGTCTGGGCCTCGGTGGGGGTCGGGCGCGAAGCCGGGAGATCTGGGTCTCTGGTGCGTCACCTCCCTCCTCGTCTTAGCCCCGCCCCGTCCCTCCTCCAGCAGGTGGAGGTCGCCTGGCCAGGACTCCCCAGAACTCAAACTCAGATGCTGGGGCCTTCCGTCCACGCATTCCACATACACATCTCACAGAGACCCTCTTCCTCTATCGACCCCTGTGTAAGTAATTAACCTTTCCTCAAGCAATTATCCAAACAGTGTGCCAGATCGCCTCGCCATTTCTGTCTTCCGTTCTCAATAGCACACCTTCCAGTTTTTTAGAAGTGTTTTAGCTTGAAGAGAAAAGCAGCACTGGGGCAATAGAAGAGACAAAAGTTGAAGAGGCCTTAAGAGCTTTTAATGATGGCAATGATTAGGTAAATCATGAGTGCTTTCAGAAGCCTCTTCATTGAGCAGGAAACCTATGGGGATATTTAATACAAGCTGATAGAAATTTCTGTTAAAGTGATAAACCAAAACCACGTGAAAACCGCTAGGAATATTAGTTCTGAGAGCTACTTCTAAACTTCCACACCAACTATCAAGTAAGATTCCTTTTGCCGGAAGAGAAACCATACTCCCTGCACATTGCGGAAATGTATCCAGGTAGATCCAGAATACCTTCTGTAAAAGATTTATAGGGCAACTTTAACATTTGAATTTTGTTCAAACACAAGAATTGAAATGGAAAACCATACAATGAATATAAGTACTTAAATTTCTTTCGTCAAGACTGAGGATTGAGGGACTTCCCTGGCGGTCCAGCAGTTAAGACTCCCCCTTCCAATGCAGAGGCTGCGGGGTTCAATCCCTGGTTGGGGAGCCAAGATCCCACACGTCTCTGTGGCCAAAAAACCAAAACATAAAACAGAAGCAATATTGTAACAAATTCAACAAAAGACTTTAAAAATGGTCCACATCAAAGAAAAAATCTTTAAAAAAAAAAAAAAAAAGACTGGGGATGAGTAAAGTACCTGGAGGTCCAAGAATAAGTACCTTGAGGAGGTTAGAATCCAGAACTCTGTACATACCCCAGCTCTGTTCCCCAGATCCGTTATCATCTACAGCAATTTTATGCAATGAAGAGGGGGCCTGCAAAATTCATCCATGGCCTTTTGGTTTGAAGCCAACCTCCTTCCTGGCACCTTTTCTTCCATGGATGCTCTTCGGTTTCCAGCTTTTTGTTTCAGTGCATGCTAAATCAGCTGGACAAATATTGTCTATTGGTTCTAGGCTCAAAAGACCATGCTGGGGTTTAATATTTATTATTCACACATACTGAAGTTTTATTCAATTCTGAATTTTACATTAATGTTGTTTCACTGTTATCTTCATTTTGTGCTTGGAAAAATGGAGAAGCCGTTATTACAATTTACCGCCTTCGTGCTGAATGGAAATTTGACTGAAATACACTAAATTGTTTATGCTTCATATGAAATTTGATTTTCTAAAAACATCTATTATATGTCCTGGGCTTGATGATTTTCAAAATCCTATATCAAGTTTTTAGTGATTTTAGAATATTGCCAAGCAGTCTATTAAGTTCTATGTATAACTGTATTGTTTGTTGCTCATAATAATCAAATTAATATTAATTTATTTACTTGTAAGAACAAAGTAAAAATAGTTTTTGGAGTTACTACACATGTCCAGACATTTTAACTTCGTTAAGTATGTTTGTATATCATTTGATCAAATATCCCCATGAGATTGGTAACATTATCTCTATTTTTTATAAGAAAAAAATAAAAGCAGGAATATTAAATCAAGTCTAAAACTCAGCTTTCACAACTCTCCAATTACCTCATCTCCAAGGTTTGCACCTTCATAATCCTTTAATCTGTATTGAAGCTTTCAGCTAACAAAAAATGGGAGTGATATATATGGGTAGTTTTCTTTTTAAAATAAATATCTTTCATTATTGATTAATGATTAATCTCTCAGAAAATCCACTAATTCAGGTGATTTGTACAGTTAATTTCCTATGACTTCTTATTGAATTAGTCTTCCAATTCAACATTTCACCTACCCCCATGGATATAAAAGGACACTGATGTATTTTTAAAACTTTAAAAGCAAAGTTTAAAAAAACTGCTTTGAACCAGACAACAAACATCTCAGAATTTATAAATATTTTCTATATCCACTTACTCTTATACCATAAACATCTGAAATGCATACCCAGTCTACATTAAAAACCTGTTTTCATGTCAGATAAACATGATCTTTATATCTACAGATTTTTAGTCTTTATATAAGTAAATACTTACTAATTCTGAGAAAGGGTCGATTCCTAGGTAGTGAATATAGAAACAGGAAATAGCTTTGAAATAAAACAGATGTACTGCTATTAGGGAGAACTTGGTAAAGCAAACCTCTGATGACTTTAAATTCCTCACACAAATTCATGCTGCCTGGTTGCTCCGAATGGTGTGCAGTGTGGTTCTATTCTGCCCCAAGCTTGAATGTGGCACCCTAACAACTGACCTGCAAAACTGTCTTTAGTGGTTGAGTCTGCATGCATATTCCTTCCTCTAAAACTCAGAGAATACCCTCTACTGTTGATATTATTCTTTCCTTAAAGTTTTGTTATTTCTAATAATTTAAAATATAAATTTAGATAGATTTGCTTGACAATTTGGGTCAAATTCTAAAAGGTTATTTTGAATTTCATTAGAGTCTCAGGCAAGTCATTTTCCAGAAAGTTATCTTTAATGTCTTTGCTAAATAAATAACATTTACACACACGACAAAACCATCACAGGCTCCTGTAGGAAGCCAAAGTGTAAGAATCCAAGGTAAATGTACAGAGGTGCATCAACTATTTCAAAGTCTAAAATCAAGCATCTGTATATAAGCAATCACTTTGATTAAAATCTTCCAAGCTTAATTACTCCCTCTTAAAACATTTTAAATTCTATATTGGACAAAACAGATATAAATGTACTTGTGCAAATTAACTTTAAAAAACATAGTATGGCTTTAAAGTCACAGTTACTTCTGCAGCATCATACTATATGAGCACACTTGAGTCGTCATTCTGCATTAGCCATTATTCTTAGTTCAAGTGAACACACTGTCACATCTATTGACAATATATGTCTAATTACTCTGCACCCAAAAGGAATAAAGGATTAAGATGCTATTGAAACAAATTAATGTCTAGGGACTTTGATAAAGACAATAAACATTAACGGAATTTGGGAAATAAGATTTGCAGGGCTTATCTCTCTCTCTGTGTTAGACATTTCTTAGAGAAACCTCATCTGATTTAGGAGTAACAGGAAATAGGCACAACTCATTCCATTCTTCTATCGCATGTTAAAAAATAAAATTCATGCAATTTTCAAAAATTAATTTCTTATAAACCCAGTCAACAATTTCTTTAAAAAAGTAAAGTGTAACCTCTGCTTTGAGAGATGACAATAAAATTAGTAAGTTTAAATATTGCCATAATTAAGAAAAACAAAGTCATCATTTATACAAGCTTAAGAATTCAAGTTGCTTGTGCAATGAAATTAAAATTGATCACACACCAATCATTCTGAGCTACAAACTAACACGTAGATTACCTTGCAAGTCATATCGCCAATTGCTAATTTTATTTACATTAATGACAAGTAGTATAACATTTACCAATTACAAGTCTACAGGTCTACTTGTTGGTAGTAGTTGAGCTTTTCCAATAGGATTTTTTGGAGAACCTTTATACCAGACCCTCTCTTTATCTGATGGTCTTCTAAGGACCCTGTTATTTATGCCACGAGAAAAGCCCATATCATTATTTACAACAGATTTTACTATATCATGATTTGTCAGATCATCCAAGGGAACCTTAATTTGGCCATTAGATATCACTTCCTGCTTACAAACTCTGGTGGACCCAAGAGAAGCATTTCCAGTGTTTGGGTGCCTCTTCATTTGTGAGAAAGATGTAGAAGTTACCTCCATGCTTGATTTTGAAATCGCATCAACATTCGACTGTTTGCATGATGTAGCCTTCTGTTCTTTAGGACTTGATCTGGTACATGGAATAGAGGAATCTTTTGATGTACATTCTACACGAGAGGGAAGAGCACTATCACAGCTCACTGATTTAACCAGAGGAGAAGCAGCATCACCAAGACTTGCTAGTTTATGTCTTGGAGGTTGTCCACCATACAACAACAAAGAATTAATTCTTCTGACAGACTGACGGACAGGCATACGCTGAAACTTAAGAGGTGACTTAACTTTTGTCCTATTTGGTTCATTTAAAGAAAGATTGTTAAACCACTGTATGTGGTCTGAAACCTTTCCATGCTCTGTCATTTGTAAATGTTCAGAAACCGTTTTATCACATGTTTCCACCAGTGACTGCTGTTTAACAATTCTCACAGGCCTAGGTTTTGACAGGTTTGCACTATCACACGTAATCTGCTCTGAGGAAGAGGCGCTAGCCACGTCCTCTCTAGAAGCTGCACATTTCAGTAAGTTCTCTTCAATCATATTTTCATTCTCCTTTAATTTAGTATTTAGTGTATCCCTTGGGGACTCTTGTTTCTTTATTTGTTCATCACTGGACAATTCCTGCTTGCTTAAATAATCTTTTGGTATATTTGAATGAATGTTGTCTTCTAGTTCTATCTTCATCTGAGTTGAGTAACATTTTATAGGGGCTTCTCTACCCAATTTTTGAGTTTGATGTAGTGAGAAGTCTCTTTCTGAAAAACTAATTTCATCTTTACTAGTGTGGTGTTCATTGGATTCTATCACAGTGAAATTATTAATTTCAAATAGATTTTTTTCTGTGCTACATTTAATAGAAGATGCTTCATTAAATTTTACTTTCCCTACATTAGTTAATGATGACTGCCTGTGATTTATCAATGCATGAAGATTACTTCCAGATTCAGAAAATGCTTTCTGAATTTTCACCACAGTCTCTGTGGTCAGGTTATTTTCATCCCCACTAAGAGAGCTGCCAGTTACGTTGCTATTATGCCTACTGTGTACATTAGAAGGGGTAAGCTCATATGACCTAACAGGTGACTTTTCAACCATCATATCGGGCTCCAAGGAAGAGTTTTCCACCTCAAGAACTGCATCTATTGGAGAAGCTTCATTTCCATCTATTTCTTGAAAACTTGAATTACTAGGTCCTGTCCAAGACATCCGGTAATTTCTTCCACCTAGTCGCTCTGGAGTTAATAAGTTTTCCTCAGACTTACTGATCTTTTTTGAACCTAAAATAAAGCAGTTCAGTGTTTTTAATCATTTATGTCTGACCTAGTTTTGAAATGTTATTCAAATACATGACAAATTAAATACTAAGCATTTAATTCCGATAAACTAGATTTGTGTTAAAAGAGATAATTTTTACCTATAAATATGTCAAACATCTTTATATTTACATTTTTAAAGATCCTCCAATTATTCATAGACAAATACATTGCAATTCCAATATTTTCATTATTCAAACACGAATTTTCAATTTCTAGAATAGTAAATTACTTAATATATTTTATCATTAAAAACAACTAAAGGTTATATGTCAATTATATCTCACTAAAATGGGAAGAAAATTTTTTAAAAAACAACGGAAGTAGGCTTTTGGGATAAAACTCTAACAATATCATGTAAATATACCTTTTTTTGTTAATCTTTCATCAATATATGGGCTAAAAAGCAGACCTGTTTTTACAGATTCAATCCTATTTTTTAAACTTTGTTGATTTGCAAGTCGTCGACCAACATTTTCAGATCTATCGACACCAGAACACACATTCTGTACAGAACAAATTGAAAAAGTTTTGGTTAAGAAATAAACCCAGTTAATTCAAAATATT